AATAATATTAAAGACTTATAAATTGATGCAATAGATGAGAAAGAACATAAATAAAGCCAGACTTCCCTAAAATGTTCTTAGAATCTTCTCACTTGGAGAAGGAAGCAACGAGTTGTTAATCTGTTTTTTTTTTTGTTCTCTCTGTCAGTAAGTTGTTCAGCAGCATGTCATCGCCATAAGGAAGTAAGCGCTCCTTCCTGTTACCTGTCCGTCTGATCATTTCCCAGACTCCCCAGGGAGTGGCAGGAAGCATGGTGGACTGGTCCAAACACATGCGACCCACGTTGACGACGTGAAAGCCGTCCACGTCCTTGGTGGGGGAAACGGCGTTGCAGATGGCGCGCTCATCGATGTGATCTGTGAGAAACAACAAACAACAACAACAACTCATGAGCACACCTCGATCCTCTCTGCTGAAAACACGTGCAGCAAAGTGTTCCAGGTTTTTTTTTTCCTCTCTCTCCTCGTACCTGGCAGAGGCAGCTGGACCAGCAGGCCGTCCACACGATGGTCTGTGTTGAGCTTGTAGATCAGGTCCAATAACTCCTCCTCACTGATGTCTGAGTGTTTGAGAATCGTCTCACTGGAGATCCCTGTTAGGAGGTTAAAGCCAAAACTTTAAAAAACACAGAAAAAGAGATTTGTTCTTTTGTTTTTAAATCTCAGAGAACTTGTTTGTACACGCAGAGACGAGGTGTGTGGGTGTTTTTCTCTCTCTCTCACCGACATCAGCTGCAGCTCGTGTCTTGTTCAGGACGTAGGAGTGACTGGCCGGGTTGTCTCCCACCAGAACAACGCTCAGGTGGGGTCTCCTGTGGCCGGCTATGACCCAGTTCTCCACGTCGGCACGCGCCTCCTCCCGAATCTGCCGTGCTAGTTTCTTTCCTGAGATGACAACGGCCTCCTGTCTGCAAAGAAGCATGCAAAAAAAATAAACATGGGAGTCAGGAAGAGAAGCCGACGAACAGGTTAAACGCTTCATCTTAGGGCGGGGAGAAAATATCAAGAAGGCAAAATGTCGTCAACCTGACTTGCATGATGAAAGATTTGGAGTCGCCGGTGCCAAATATGACTAATTGAACAGATTTGGCTGATTCTGATTGACTGCAGGATTCCTCACGTTGGCGCTCATGACATGAATGAGGCTAACATGAAAACAAATGTTCAATGACCAAAGAAGAAGAAGGAGAAGACGGCGGGATGATGTGGGACAGCAGTGCAACAAGGGGTTAAAGACTTACTGACACCAAAATGCAGGTTTTTCTAATTCTTCAAGTGATCAGATATCTTCATGTTTATTGTACGATCGTCTTGCAATATATTCATTATCACAGAATCACTGACACCTGATATTATTGACATCATACAGTAATGCATCACGTGTTATCCTGTGATTTCCCACAACTACTTCACATGCTTGGTTTTTTTTGTTTTGTTTTTTAAATGAAGCCAAAAAAAAAGAGTTTTTCAAAAACATCCTTACACATCAGAATAAGTCACCAAAAAAGAAAACGTTGCTGTTCATTTCAAATTCTGCCAGACAGACAAATATTTTAGGTTTCAAATATGAGCCTGCGTTACTCTTCAACAGGTTTTTTATTCCATCCCAGCAGTACAGGACTTCTGATACCAGAAACCTGTAAACTATCTCAGCCTGGACAAGCACCAACTCCAGCCTCTAATTTTAGATGTCCTACCCCTCCACCTGACGGAGCCACATGCTCCACTTGTACTTACAGTAACAGTTACAGTCCCAAATGAGTGACAGGTTAAAGAAGCGTTTATTCTTCATCTAATGGACGTATAGAGACAGAGAGGCAGCTTGTGGGTTAAACTGAGGAACATTCTTTAGTGGATGGAACCGCCCTGCTTTGTATACATTGCCAAAGACGTTGGTTGATTACATAACAACAAACGGGTAGCAGTCGGTAATAGCTGAGGAGCAACGAGCCGTGGGAAGTGATGTAACAGCCCCTTTTTATTCTGTCCAAACTGATTAAACCTCACGGGGGGAAAGTATCACATCTTGGTCAAAAAGTGGGGTAACTACCGAGAGGCCAGGGAACCAGGGTGCTGAGGAAATGTGTCGACACAGCTGTGTTGTAAATACTGGGAGGACTTCTCTCTCTTCAAATGCAAAAAGAACATTTCTGATGTGTGTGAATGAGCATCGATGTCGTCTCTTGAAACGTTACTCTACTGGATCTTTAGTTATGATTGCGCCGAGGTTGTATCCATGTCGTGGTATATATCTTGCATAACACGACAGAGGGTCTTAACTTATCTCTGTATCGGGTTTCTGGAGCTGCAGGTCATGTGCAGGAGCCACACGAGGTTTGAGTTTTAAAAGCGTGTGTGCAAAGTTAGTTCATTTGTGAGTAAGTCATTCTGCAGTCAGCACGTTTCCAATGAAGAACCTGCACGGGACAGGTCTGCAACGTAGTCAAAATCCACTTCAAAAGACAAGAGTGTAGGAGAGGAAATAATCCCACAAAAAGATGAAAATAAACTAAAACAAATTGTCTAAATGGAACTATTTGCTCACAATTTACATAATGAGCAATCTTTCTTTAATTAAAACAAGAAATGACCAAATACTGGGAATCTAGAGCTTATATTTATGTTGCAATGGCATCAAAACAGGTTTCTTTGTAATTTGATCTTTTCTGGAATCTAATCGAAGTTTGAAAAATCTGGTTTACGTCGCAAAAAGTTGCCAATGTTTGCAATTTAGAGAGTTTGTAGGAGTTAACATGCAGTTTTTGTTCAATAAAAACAAGAAAATATCCAATAAGGGGGTGCTCAGGACTTCTATTTGTGTTGCCATAGTATCAAAACAAAGCTTTGCCTTAACTAGTATCATATCGAAGTTAATAAAAAAACCCTAACAGGGTGTTTTAAAATGTACAATCAGTGTGAAAGAGTGTAACAACGGCCTTAATGCATATGAATGTCTCCTCCTGCAGTGCAGACCAACACCTCGGTCTCCAGCTGAAACCTGGCTCCCAAAGCCGCAGGATGCCAGGGTGCAAACACCAAGACCGATTTCATCAGCCAGTCTGCTGCTGCTATTTTACCGGCATACCGCTAGGGGGCGCGCCGATGTGTGAGTAACTGCGGACATTTAGTTGAATAAATCAAACAAACCCGCATGATTAAAAGCAGAATCTTCTCCATTTACACATCATTTTTGGAGTCCAGGAGAAGATTAGTTAATAGAGAAAAGCTACATTAAGGTGTCGGATACTTCTAGGGAGAGAAAAGGCGCGGAACATGTCGTTAAAGTGGGAATGAGATGAGCCGTGGGCGCACTCACCTTGAGGCGGACGTGTGCAGCTTACAGACGGTGTGCTGGGAGTGTTGGCACAGTTTCCTGAGAGTCCTGACGGCTGCCATCCTGAGAGAGGCTGAGAGAGAGGAAGAGGAAGAGGAGAGGAGAAGAGACACCACCGCGGCCGATTACGAAACACGCGAGAGAGCGAGGGAGAGCCGTCGGTGGGAGAGGAAGAGGAGCAGCGACGCTTTTAAGCCCTCCCCCTTTACGCAGCCGCGCTGACGTCACGGGTGTTATCTGTCACTGCCACACCCCTAACCCACAGACACGCCACTCAGATAATGTGCTGTACGTTTCCAGTGAAGGGAGAGAGGGGCCCCCCACTGCTTCAGCTGAGTCTGACTAACAAGAGACAGATGACTTTAATGTTTTGTTTTTTTTAACTCCATCCATCTCTCTATCTATACAATATGTACAATAAAAAGCTAAATCAGTTTCATAAAGTTGATGCTTACTCTCCAGATAGAATGGATCACGTCAGACATAGAAATTATTTTGTAATGAATTTATTCTAAAAAGAAATAAAAAAAGTCCAACCTGTGGCTCCTTCCCCGTATGTTATTCAAAACTCACTCCTCTGATTTCTGACTCCTTCTATGGTCCTGTCTTAATAAAAGCAAAATAAATCTTTAGACAACAGTACATTATTTCCTTCAGAAGTTCTTTGGCGTATTAGGGCAATTTCCAAGAAAAAAGAAAATCAAAATCTAAGGTTTTTTAAAGTTAACAATTTCTGTTTTGTTTCTTGTAAATTTACAGATACATCCTTCTTTTTTTATAGTGGCTCCCTTTGTACAGAACTGTTTAGTTTTAAAAATCAATTAATTAATTACTGTTATAACTTTTTTTATATTAGATCCACTGTCCTATCAAATAAAGGCAAAGAGTGTCTGTCTGTGTGTGTGTGTGTGTGTGTGTGTGTGTCTGTGTGTGTGTGTGTGTGTCTGTCTGTCTGTCTGTCTGTGTGTGTGTGTGTCTGTGTGTGTGTGTGTGTGTGTGTGTCTGTATGTCTGTCTGTGTGTCTGTCTGTCTGTCTGTCTGTGTGTCTGTCTGTCTGTGTGTGTGTGTGTGTGTGGTGTGTGTGTCTGTGTGTGTGTCTGTCTGTCTGTCTGTGTCTGTCTGTCTGTCTGTCTGTGTGTCTGTCTGTCTGTGTGTGTGTGTGTGTGTCTGTGTGTGTGTGTGTGTGTGTGTGTGTCTGTCTGTCTGTGTGTCTGTGTGTCTGTCTGTGTGTCTGTCTGTCTGTGTGTGTGTGTGTGTGTGTGTGTGTCTGTGTGTGTGTGTGTGTGTGTGTGTGTGTGTGTGTGTGTGTGTGTGTCTGTGTGTGTATGTCTGTGTGTGTGTGTGTGTGTGTGTGTGTGTGTGTGTGTGTCTGTGTGTGTCTGTGTGTGTGTCTGTCTGTCTGTCTGTCTGTATGTCTGTCTGTCTATCTGTCTGTCTATCTGTCTGTGTGTCTGTCTGTGTGTCTGTCTGTCTATCTGTCTGTGTGTCTGTCTGTGTGTCTGTCTGTGTGTCTGTCTGTCTGTCTGTCTGTGTGTCTGTCTGTGTGTCTATCTGTCTGTCTGTCTGTCTGTCTGTCTGTGTATCTGTGTGTCTGTCTGTCTGTCTGTGGTGTAGTACCTACACACAGCCGGCAGGGGGCGACAATCTGCCCGTCGCGCTCCTCCGGACAGCCGATAGAGGAAGAAGCCTCAGTGGGTGCAGTTCATGTTAGCCTGAACGGATCCGTTAGCAGCGCAGACATCGCAGACCAGTGGACCTTTTCACTGTTATTCAGCACACGTTTTAAATCGACTAAAGCCGGATTGAGGAGTTATAATCGAGGCTCTCCGACGACCGCTTCGCCACGATGAGCTTCCTGTTGTGAGTAAAGAGTGCAGCAGCCTCTCGTCTCAGCTTTAAACGTTAGCTGCTGCGAAGTTTGCTGGAAGGGAAGTAACTGATGTTAAAACATCAACACCGGCACAGAAAACCACCCTGTACCACCGTGTGTTTGTGTTTTAACTACCCAGGGTCATAGTTCATCACCCTAACATTATCTACGAGCTGTGTTTATTTATAGATCCTCAAAACTCTCCAACTTTTAACCAGTTAATCAAAGTTATGACTCAGGTTAGCCTGACGACGGACGCTAGCTTTGTTAGCAAACTTAGCTCATGTTTTATTATTTATTCAGCTCAAACTGTCACGATAACATCAGCTGTAACCCCCTCCTTTCATGTATTAAAGTTAAACTGAGCTGTGTGGTTAACTACGGGGTTGTTTACACTGACACATTATGTTTATGTTGCATTAAAGTTAATATTATAATATAAATGTGACACTCTGTGTTTGTAATGTCCAGAGAAGAGTGCACAAAATATACAAGTTCAGGTACTTTGATTACATTTTACTGAAGAAGAAGTATGAAGTAACGATTTGTATAGCGTCAACTCATAACAAGTGTTACATTACAAAAGAGAATTGGTCCAAATACTGAACCCTGTGGGACTCCATGGCTAACTTTGGTGTGCATAGAGGACTCATTATTAACATGTACAAACTGAGATCGGTCTGATAAGTAGGATTCAAACCAACTTAAAGCAATTCCAAGTAAATGTTCTAGTCTATATAATAGGATCTGATGGTCAATGGTGTCAAAAGCAGCACTAAGATCTAACAAGACGAGCACAGAGAGAAGTCCCCTATCTGAAGCTAGAAGTAGATTGTTTGTAACTCTAACTAGCGCAGTCTCAGTGCTATGGTGGACTCTAAATCCTGACTGAAACTCCTCAAATAAACTGTTGTTATGGAGAAAGTCACACAGCTGATAAGTACTGAGATGTTATATTTATAATCAAGAGGGTGGGGTTGTAATGTAAAATATGATCTCTCCTTCCTGTGCAGCACTCAAAATAGTGACTATAGAATATAAATTATACTTTGTGGGACTAATTGAGCCAACCACTTTAATATTTTCTGGATTTGCCAGGTTATTAGAAGTTATTGGGAAGAGATCCGTCATTATATAAAAAATATATTTTGCAAAAAACATTCCTTTCAAATGTGAAACGATGTATCTGGGTGAGGTATCGTTTGGAAATTGGATGTACTTCTTACAGCAAATTAAAAAAAAAAACATCAGGAGAAAATTGTTAGAAGTAGATCCATCCCCCGTTGAGGAATGGATTGATGTTGTACACGAGATCAACATCATGGAAGAGTGCATGAAGAAAAACTTAATCAGATCCAGATTAAATGGACTGAGTAAAACCAAGGTGGTTGGCAACCTCCGATGTTGAACACATGAAGAAAGTGTACACTGCGAAAGTGTAAAATCCTGCACACTTGAGGCGCTTGGCTGCAGAAGCACAGGAAGTCACCCAGACGACCTATTTAAAAAAATTCTTGTGTTTTCTTTATTGTCATTCGGTTGTACCTCAGTGTAGATCAAAACAACATTTCGTTGCAGTAGGCTCGTCATAGTGCAGGTTAAAAATCAGCAGCAAGTATTTACATGAAAATAAGAAGGTGCAAACATAAATAGGTATAAAATTACTATAAAAGATAACAAATACATTGCAAGTTTTTACAGCAGAAATTAACATGTTTACAGCCTGGTTCAAAAAACGGTATTGGTCTGATTAGCTCATGTCCCAATTAGCGGATAGAATAACGGTATTCACAATAAGGCGCGTAGTGGACATGATTGACAGGTGGGCTGATGAAGTTGACGGAAAGCTTGGCTCTTTTAAAAAATGTTACCTCCATGCGAGCGTGCAGGCCCAGCCAGCTTAGCTCTGTGTTCGTTTCTTCGCAGTAGCAACCGCTCAAACAAGACCTTCAAGCCGAAGAAGAACATCCCGGAGGGCTCCCACCAGTATGAGCTGCTGAAGCACGCCGAGGCTACGCTGGGCAGCGGGAACCTGAGGCAGGCCGTCATGCTGCCGGAGGGCGAGGATCTCAACGAGTGGATCGCTGTCAACAGTAAGTGCATGGATGAAATAAACCTTATCACTCTCTGCACAAACTATCACATTTCTCATCATAAATAATACTTATTCTAAGGTTTGACATTTACGTCATCAAGTGGTGAAATAAGAGGAAAGTCAAACAAACAAACGCACATCTCACTGGAAAATATGGACTCAGAATGAAGATGATTTATAAACAGTGGTAGTAAAAACTAAATTAGTTCATGAGTAGATGATGAGAGTAATTAATGGGTAAATAATCAGAGTACTGGTGTAGTAGTTAGTTAGTTTAAAAAAATGCAGATCATAAACAAGTCCATGTTCTGTAAAAAAAACAAAGTGAAGCTCTGTATGTGCAGAAAAGTTTCTCTTTTGAGTTTATTTTGGGCACAAACATGAGAACAGAAACTAAACTGAACCTGTTGGTTGCAGCGGTGGATTTTTTCAACCAGATCAACATGCTGTACGGCACAATCACCGAGTTCTGCACCGAAACCAGCTGCTCTGTGATGTCTGCAGGACCGAGGTAACAGCAACACGTCTCTTCTTCAGCTTTGATGAAATCCTGTGGGTCCACTTGAGACCGGCTCCAGGAGCCCCAGAAGTCAAATACACACCTAAGCCTAAAAAAAAGCATTTTTACAGCAGAAATGAACATGTTTACAGCCTGGTAGATTCAATGAAACAGGTCTGATTAGTTATTATCCTCGTGGGGCACACACTGTCAACAATGATTCAGGAAAGATGTAAAGCTACAGTGTCAGTAATAAAGGTGAAAGTAGGTGTAGTGTCAGCAGGAACAACTAAGTATGTTAATTACAGAAGTTGAAGTTGAGCAGCTCTTAGAAAGATACTTTCTTAATCCTTTACAGGAAATGAAACAGTTCCATCAGCTACAATCACAGTCAGGAGGACATGACACTAAAACCACAGGACAAAGAATGTTCAGCCACATAATAAATCAAAAAATGCTAATCCTAAATAAAATAAATCTTAAGAAACTTGATTAACATTTCTAGAATTAAAAAAACAAAACCTAATGTAAATAAATATATACAATATGAAATGATATGTACGAGTGTGTGTATCAATATGAGCTCACACAGTTGTTGAAACATGTGGTCCAGATTGTGGTTATGATGATGTGTCATGTGAACAAAAGAAGCCAAACATAGAGTCCAGTTTCTGAGCGTTTGAGACGTTCAGGGTTAAAGAAATACATCATCGGATGGTCACATGAGACAAAAAACAGGAATTCAACTAAGCATGTGGTCGTGGTCGTGGTCGACACATCTTAGTTTATATCGAGGTCCTGCACTTCCTCTATCCTCGCCTGCCAAGACTGTCAGTGCTCGCTCTGTAATCAGGAGGAAGAAACCCGGGCTCACTTCCTGTTGACATAGCTGCTATCAAGAATATGAGCATAGACTTTTGCATTTCCCCCTACTGCTCTTTTTTTAGCTTATGTCTCACACAATCATGTTGTCCGTCGTTTCCATGACTGAAGACACAGTGAGGGCATTTTGTGTGAACTGTTCTCGAGTAGATCGTCTGTAACTCATAAATCAAGTCGGGGAAATGAAGCCACACTAATGTTTTGTTCTTTGTTTATAGATATGAGTATCACTGGGCTGATGGGACCAATATTAAGAAGCCTATCAAATGCTCTGCGCCCAAATACATCGACTACCTGATGACCTGGGTGCAGGACCAGCTGGATGACGAGACACTTTTTCCCTCCAAGATCGGTGAGATTTGATTAATGAAGTATTTTTGGCTTTAGCACTTTGGCTTACTATCAACTATCAAGTCTTTTTATGAGGGTTTTTGTGGTAGTTTTTTTTTTCTTTTCTCGTCTTCAATCCTTTCAAAAATTCATTCTTCATTGTCTGCTCGATTTGCTCCTTTCTTTTTCCTTTTCTTTTTTAACAGTCTAGACTCCAATTTTTAAGATATTTACTAAAAATAAATCATAACATGACCTTACTATCTGATCAGACATTCAGGAAACATGCTATGTTGAAGTGCTGTCTTCTCTGACAACAATGCAGCAGCCAGTATGTCCTCCTTCTAACTTTAGATTCTGCTCCTGAATGCTCTGGATTTGTTTGGACCAGAGAAGGTAGGCGCTTTTAAGGCGACCCCACACACAGCCGTTTTGGACGCCCCTCGGTTTGTCAGATATGAGAGCAGTTATCAGGTCAACAGGTGTTGCAGCGATGGAAGCGGTCAAGAGAAGTGGTTCAGATAGAAGTGATTGTACCCGACCTAAAAAGCCTCTGCATGTTTCTAATAAGCTCCACGAGCAGAAACGTGCTCAAACTAGGATCAATATTGGAGATGCTTTTGAAAAATGGAGAGAGGTTAGAACACAGAAAGGTTTACAGACCCATGCAGAGCTGGATAAACACTGAAGCTTCAGAGTCCACCACATGGTGACCTGTTTGACTCTAGAGAGAGGGGGGGGGGGGGGACAGCTCTCTATGATGTTTAGAATTTAGACTGCAGTACCCATTTTAAACACTAGGTGTCAGAGTTACATATTGCTCCTTTAATGTACAAGAACGCACGCTGGAGTTTCCCAACAAGCCTGCGAGAAAGCGTTGAGTTTGCTTTTTGTGCACACACTGTAGAGGGACAGAGGGCGGCTTGTTCAGTCGAGCAGGATATCTGTAACTGAAGGCAGCCCCACCAAACCTGGCAACCAAGAGGGGAAACATTATGATGTCAAAAGACAGTCATCTGACTCCCGCCCTGATGATCATGTGTCTCACGTGCTGATTAGCAGAGAGATCTTTTTTTTTTTTCTGTATCTGCTTTTCGTCTCCTGCAAAAAATTTGATTTAACGATTCAGTTAAATAAACATTATCTTATTAACCTTCAGTTTCTCTGAGTGTCAGCTGACGACCTCAGTGGAGGTTGAAAAACGTTTGCACAGATCTCTTGGCATCAGCGTTTTTCCTTCCCTTGTGTTTCACAGGAGTTCCCTTTCCGAAGAACTTCATGTCCGTGGCCAAAACCATCCTGAAGCGTCTCTTCAGGGTTTACGCTCACATCTACCACCAGCACTTCGACTCTGTGATGCAGCTGCAGGAGGAGGCCCACCTCAACACCTCCTTCAAGCACTTCATTTTCTTTGTTCAGGTGAGATTTTTCCTGCTGCACCAAACGGTTAAATCCCTGCTAAAGCGTATACAGCAGCGTGTGTGCAAACCAGTCAAACGAGGGATGGAGCTTTGAACACTGCACTATGAGACGCTCATTTGTTAAATTCAGAACAGCTGGAGAACCAGATGTTTAATATCATGAGAGGGGTGGGGACACAGTCAACATCTTCACACACCGAATGAGTGCGTGAAAGCCAAAAAGCAGATGCATGAACACATGAAGGTTTTTATGGAGTCATGTATGACAGAGAAGTAACAGAATTGGACAAACTGGATTTTGAAATCCTAAGTGTAATGAATGACCTCCTTAAGTGGCTTTATTTCTGTTTTCATTCACACGGCTCATAGAAATGTTTAGATGGTGTAATCTGGTTGGCTGGTGAGTACAGCCAAATGACACAGAAACATGTCAAAGACACAGAGGTGGAGACTGATGTCAGGGCTGTTAATGTGTAATGTGTAAGGTTGTCGTGGTAACCACTAAAATGAATTACCGCGGAGAACGGAGGCCATCTAACCCCCACCTCATGTTCATACGGAAACAATGGCAACTGCGCTGTAACCTAAACTGAAATGTAACATCAGGGCGGGTGTAGGTACCAGATGTGCTCGGGGTCCTGCGCCTGCTGGTGACGTCACACAATATGAAGTTTTATTCACGATATCGGGGCATAGTACTACACTTCCCACGATCATAGTGTTTCTGATTGGTTACGCCTGCTGTTACCATGGCAATGTTTCCCGCCCCTCGGCGCCGTATGCGAACAGGTCAGTCCCGCTAACACGAAATGTACTATCCTAAACACCTGGTCATGCCGCTGTGAGTGTAGTTTATATTTTCCACAACACAAACTACAAGATAGTACAACACTTTGTATTAACGGTATAATATAACAACGACAAAAGGTACTCTTAAGAAGGCACAATATAATTCGCAATGGATTGTGGGATGTGTAGTTCCTTGACTTCGGATGAAAATCGTGTCACAGTCTTGTCTTTTTTCCATTTTTTTATGTCGTGTTGGTGCTGAGTTAAATGTCCTATCGTCAGTGGGCGGTCACTGTTGTGTTCAAAGACCCGACAAAAAAAAACGTGAAAACTACAAACTCTCTGATCATATTGTGAGACTTCACTGGCAGGCGCAGGACCCCGAGTCGATCTGAACACCCGAGCACATCTGGTACCTACACCGGCTGTGGCTCAGTGGTAGAGTCGGTCGGGGGTTTGATCCTCAGCTCCTGCAGCCACATGTCCGATGTGTCTTCAGGCGAGACACTTAACCCCTAATTGCTCCCACTGCTTCGTCGGCGACATGTGAATGTGTATGAATGTGATCAGTTAATTCTGATGGACTCTTCACACAGCAGCCTCTACCATCAGTGTGTGAATGTGTAGGTGTGACCTGCAGTGTAAAAGAGCTTTGAGTAGTCAGAAGACTAAAGCAGAAGCAGCTGATTTAGACGCAGTGCATTGCAGTTTATTAAAATTTGCCAAATAGATCCGTGTGCAACGAGGAAACACTTCTAATTGCACTTCTAATGCAGCAGCAGCAGCAGTCACCACATTTTGTTTTTGTGATCATTTTTTTATGATTCATGTTTAAACATTGTCACTGACAATAAAGGAAAAAGAAGATGTTGTGGTTTTAACAACAGCCCACAAATATACAGGAGAGGAGAATCATCATATACAGTATATCATATACATAACTCCTTATACAATACATTTCAAAAGAAGGGATGAAACCAGCTGACAAAAGGGGCAAACAAAGATTGAATCATCTCTCTCCCCTGGATTACCACAACACAGAAAGTATACAAATAAGTAAAGAATAATGGCAAATGCAGTTTGTTTTTGAAAAACCTGTACAGTACGATTTGGCTACAGAAAACATAAAGACAGGCTGAGTACTTAAAAGTGAAAACTGGCTCACAAGAACTGAAGAAAGCCTTTCGGAGGAGAGGTGAAACGTCTTCAAGATCTTCAACCGAGTCCAGTTGTCTTTGGATCAGAGCTTCAAACTAATACAAACTGTTTTATCTTCTTTCTCCTAGGAGTTCAACCTCATCGACAGGCGAGAGCTCGCTCCCCTGCAGGACTTGATCGAGAAGCTTGGATCCAAGGACAGATAGACATTTCATCACACGTCTCCTTTTCTTCTTTGTTTTTTAACACTTTCTTTTTCTCCTCTCTCTCTCTCTCTCTCTCTCTCTCTCTCTCTCTCTCTCTCTCTCTCTCTCTCTCACCTCTGCTACCTCTTTGACTTCTGGGCTCAACTCTTTCAATCTGTGCCTTCTTCTACCTTTCATTTCTACCATGTCTGTGCTTCTTTTATTTTCTTCTGGTGACTTTTATGCTGTGTTTGAGCCACCCCCCCTCCTCGTCACTCATATATATATAATGATGTAGTGTAGTGAGAGTATTTTTTCACAGTACTGTGGTTAATGACTCTGTAAGAGCAACCGTCTGAATTTTTATATTGGACCAAGGACTTTTTGAGGTTAGAGGTAAAAGCATATTTTATTCCATCAGAAGTCGACGTGTAGATGACTTTGATTGTCTGGACAGTTTTTAGTTATTCATAGGCAGTTTCTTTAAACATCGAGCTGTTGTTAAAACAACGACTGACCAAATATCCCCATCTTAGCTGCCATTAGAGAAAGACAAGAAGATGGCAAGAAAATGGTCAGATGAATGGAGCCTTGGTTTGGATTTTGCACCTGTAAGAAAACAAAAATGGTGAAGAGAGGCTCAAATAATATACAACACATGCTTACTATCGACAAACTCTCTGATGCTGGGGTAAAGATTGGTATTTAAAGACTATTATGATGATGCATTTTTTTTTTTTTTTCAAAAACACACCACCAGCGAGTGCATCTTAGGTATTTGAATTTGGTCATGATATTGTGTTTTGCACATTTTTTTGGGCTATTTTCCTAATTAAAATTGTAAAGTGAAAGCCAGGGTGTTGACAGGGAAATTGTTAGTTATTAGTAATAGTGATTTAAAATGTAATGGAGATGTTAAGTTGAATTAGTTCCTGTGTCCAGCTTGAGTTTTTTTCTGAGTGCCAGCGTCTTTTTTCAATGAGAAGAGAGCGTTCTCTGCTGCAGGTGGACGCCTGGAGAAAAAGCGCATCATCTTTTTTTTCCAACTTTTTGAAAGGGCTTTGTCTTAATCACCCAACACTTTTTTCAATCGGGATATAATTGATCTGAAATACAAAACATACAGAAAAAGGTAACGGAGCAGTGGGGTTCACACAGCGGTCGTTGTCATAGAGACGGACGAGCAACGCTTTTCTTCTCAGCACACAAACTCCCAAAACGCAAAAGTCGCCGCTTTTCTGCCCGGAAAAAAACACCAGGTGGACACGGGCCCTTAGTCATGCAGAAGTATTCTGATGTGAAAGAGTTCATTTCTGCGGTGTGTTTATTACTGAACCAAGTGTTTGACCCTTCAATGCTGGTACTTTGTTTTCAATGAATTCTTCCCCCTTTGATCAGAAAAGTATTAACTTTTGATAAGTGACCTGTGTTACCTGTAGTTACCACAGACGTCTCCTCTCGTCTCTGTGCATGTATCATAGTCACTTCCTGTGCTTCACTCTGGCTACAACAGCAGGGCTGTTTACTGCCATCCTTTCACACGCTAGTTGTTATGATGAATGTTTTATTTCGCAAGGGAACGGTTTCTAACCTGCTGGACCTCGATTCATATCGGACAATCATGTAACAAATTAAACCGTTAGATACGTTAACGCATCACTAGGAACCGACCAGTTGTTTTGGCTTCAGTAAGTCGTGTTAATTCACTTTTAGGCCCACACTTAGCTAACAAAAAAAAAGAGCTAGAAACAGTTAAGTTCACACTCTATAAGGATAACAGTATATTTTACAAGACTGAGTTATTTTAGAGTTTTATTTGAATATATAACAAGTCCTTTCTTTCAATCTAGAAACATATTTTTATAATGTATTGGTTTTTCACACATTTCATAATAAACTGTAAAAAGACAAATTGACATAACCTTTTTCAAATGAGGACGACTGAATCAAAGGTTTTTATATATTAACAATAAAGGTCAAATCATTGGGTGGGAAGAGGTGTCAGGATGTTGCTGCTGCGTCCCAACATTTGCTGTAAATATTACCAGTGTTTTATCTGAACAAATCAAAGTGTGCCTTAAAAACATGGAAAGGTCTGATCTGACAAGTATTGGTTGATCAAATATTCAATAAAAACTGAAAGGACAATCCTGTGTGGATCATTGTTTGTTGTGTATTCAATGTCTTGAAGACTGCAGACCTTGGACTCCGAGACAGACTGGTGCGTCGACAGTGAAGTATTAAAGGTCACATATAACCTATAACCCTCTTCAACCAGTTTAAATAGTTTGCAGAGCTCCCCAAACAGTTTCTTGTTCTAAATCCACTCTGATCCTGTATTTGATCATGCCTATAAACCCCTCTATTTCAGCCCTGCTCAGAACAGGCTGTTTCTGTGTCTGTACCTTTAAATATGTAAATGAGCTGTGTCTGTCTCTGAAAGGGGTGTCTTGGACTTTCTCGCTCCATGTCCTATTGTTTACAGTGAGAAGGCAGACTCAGAGGGGAGACCAAACACCTAGCTGTGGGAGTGTCACCCACCTGGGGGAGGGGCCACTGCCCTTTGTGATGTCATGAAGGGAAAATCTCCAAACGGCCTGTTTGAGCACACATTTTCTGAAAAGTGGAGCAGGCAAAAGACTGAGAGGATGGACGTCTCTCATCATTGGGGGGTTTGTAGACAAACTAGGGACACATTAGTGTTAGAAAAAACTTGATTTGACCTTTAATTCTTACAATCCTTTAGATTCTGTTTTCAGTCGTTCTGTCCATCAACGCTGATTTAGACAACAACATCACCGGGACCTTTCATAGCATGTATCACTCCATGAATATACCAGTAGTGTATTATTAGGGTTATTATCGTTAACGAATACTAACAACAACAACAAAAAATGAAAAAAACATTTAAAGGATACTGTACATTACTGAGATCACATATCGGATCGAAACAGACCCAGTGGTGTCACACGGGACATCTTCACAAGCGCACGACGAAACTCAAACCAATCAAATTCGACATCGGGGAGAAACGCGTACAATTTGCCCTGAGTGAGGACTTACAGACGGCTCTAACCCTTAAAACATTAACACATTCACACCCTTGATAGTAAGGAGAATAAAAACTAATATCTGATCCATTCAAAAAAGCCATACATGATGTTGTCAAGGTTTCATTTAGTTGTTTAGTGAAAGTAGGCGGAGGAGTATGTACGTTGAAAGCCTGACAGACAGCGCTCAGGGTTAAATTTACCTCCCGCTGGACAGACACCAAGAAGGAAATGTTTTTTTTTTTTTAACATACCATCATCAAGTTGTTAGCTGACTGTCGCGTCTTCTGCTTTCTTTTTGATTACCTTTATTTCTGCCTGGAACATAATTAACCAACTAACAGCAAAACGGCTGTCCGTGTTGTGCTCCGTCCGGGCGGCTGGAGCCCAAACCCGACGACACGTTAGCTCCCCGGTTCCTGCGGACAACCATTTAAAGTTAGTGAAGGCTAGCTCTGCGATGCTAACGCTATGTGTTTATTACTGAGGCGGTTTCAGTTTTAAGTTACATGAGCTGCTGTTATCAACCAGCAAAACAAAGCTAGCTTCATTTGTACTTTCTCATGACATGTCAGACAACTAGTTTGTTTGTCATTTCTAACTCACATTGCATTTTGTCCACAGGCCTTGGTGAATCATGGCGGATGAGAATACACAGTTCTGTGGAAACTGGTGAGTGTGATTATAAATCCTCTGTGATTCCCTGATTACTCCTTTTATAGATAAGATCATCCTTTATTTATCCCACATTTACAGTGTTACAGCAGCAAAGACTGCAAACACAGTGAACACAGTACTATTTAAATACAAAAAGACAAATTAAGAATGTACAAAAAAATAGATTTAAAAATAAAATGACCAGAAAATGTTCAAAAGAGCACATTATTAGTTGATATTGGCTGTTTTGTGTTTAAAATAAACCATTTATATGACAGTTTGTAACATATTATTATCCCAGACTGACATGGGTCAATGATAACCCACAACATTGATAATTGACAATTTGTGATTTAAAAAAAATAAATATTAAATATCTGATTAAAATAATTAATTCCTTTTAATTTCCTCCTTTGACCAAAAACATTGTCTGGGAAATGATCATAGCAAAAATTAATTAATGAAATAAAAATACTGTCTCAGCTCCCTGCATAGTTAACTTCATCATTCATTTTGTACTTGTATATAGTCCCTATTTTTATTTATCTTACCTAATCTATTCTGTTTAATGTGTATTTTGTATTTTGAGCTTTCTTGTCTGTGCTGCTGTAATGCCTGAATTTCCCCTCTGGGCATCAATAAAGTATTATCCTATCCTAAAATAAAATCACCAAAAAAAAAAAGGTCAATGAGGGCATTAGGGTTAGGTGATGAGTAGGGTTAGGTGATCAGTAGGGTTAGGTGATCAGTAGGGTTAGGTGATCAGTAGGGTTAGGTGATGAGTAGGGTTAGGTGATCAGTAGGGTTAGGTGATCAGTAGGGTTAGGTGATGAGTAGGGATAGGTGATCAGTAGGGTTAGGTGATCAGTAGGGTTAGGTGATCATTAGGGTTAGGTGATCAGTAGGGATAGGTGATCAGTAGGGTTAGGTGATCATTAGGGTTAGGTGATCAGTAGGGTTAGGGTTAGGTGATCAGTAAGGTTAGGTGATCAGTAGGGTTAGGTGATCAGTAGGGTTAGGTGATCAGTAGGGTTAGGGTTAGGTGATCAGTAAGGTTAGGTGATCATTAGGGTTAGGTGATCAGTAAGGTTAGGTGATCAGTAGGGTTAGGTGATCAGTAGGGTTAGGGTTAGGTGATCAGTAGGGTTAGGTGATCATTAGGGTTAGGTGATCAGTAAGGTTAGGTGATCAGTAGGGTTAGGTGATCAGTAGGGTTAGGGTTAGGTGATCAGTAAGGTTAGGTGATCAGTAGGGTTAGGTGATCAGTAGGGTTAGGGTTAGGTGATCAGTAAGGTTAGGTGATCAGTAGGGTTAGGTGATCAGTAGGGTTAGGTGATCATTAGGGTTAGGTGATCAGTAGGGTTAGGGTTAGGTGATCAGTAAGGTTAGGTGATCAGTAGGGTTAGGTGATCAGTAGGTTAGGTGATCAGTAGGGTTAGGGTTAGGTGATCAGTAGGGTTAGGTGATCAGTAGGGTTAGGTGATCAGTAGGGTTAGGTGATCAGTAGGGTTAGGTGATCATTAGGGTTAGGTGATCAGTAGGGTTAGGTGATCAGTAAGGTTAGGTGATCAGTAGGGTTAGGTGATCAGTAGGGTTAGGTGATCAGTAGGGTTAGGGTTAGGTGATCAGTAGGGTTAGGTGATCAGTAGGGTTAGGTGATCAGTAGGGTTAGGTGATCAGTAGGGTTAGGGTTAGGTGATCAGTAGGGTTAGGTGATCAGTAGGGTTAGGTGATCATTAGGGTTAGGTGATCAGTAGGGTTAGGTGATCATTAGGGTTAGGGTTAGGTGATCATTAGGGTTAGGGTTAGGTGATCAGTAAGGTTAGGTGATCAGTAGGGTTAGGTGATCAGTAGGGTTAGGGTTAGGTGATCAGTGGTTAGGTGATCAGTAGGTTAGGTGATCAGTTTGGTTAGGTGATCAGTAGGGTTAGGTGATCATTAGGGTTAGGTGATCAGTAGGGTTAGGTGATCAGTAGGGTTAGGTGATCATTAGGGTTAGGTGATCAGTAGGGTTAGGTGATCATTAGGGTTAGGTGATCAGTAAGGTTAGGTGATCAGTAGGGTTAGGTGATCAGTAGGGTTAGGTGATCAGTAGGGATGTGACGATGCACTCAACTCACGATACACTGACTGTGTTTGTGTGTGAAACTCGTACTGTGCCGTGCTTTCCGTGCTCCTAATTCAACATGAATTCACAGACTGGGACACCAATATTTCACCATTGTGGAATCATTATGAATATCTTCAGGCGTAATGACGGTGAAGCTTCTTTAAGGTGCTGTTGCAGCTTTGCACTATGAAAAGGGCGATGAAGCGGAGTAACAGGTGAACTGGTGTCTGTACCAAATAAACTTTATTCTATTGCAACAGCAACCAAATCGATAAACAACATTGTCTTACCCTTTACCTCGTTTGAAAATATATCAATATATCTTAAAAACTCGATTTATTTCACAGCCCTGGTTAATAAAACAATGCATACCTTTTCTTTGTTAAAAAAACAAAACCCTGATTATATCTTAATCGTTACATCCTGTTGTGATCAGTCAGATTAAGATGTTCATTCCAACAAGGCCTAAGAAAACTTTCTTTTCCTTTTCAGCAAACATGACATTCCAGAGGCTAATTTCACGACCCATGAGATCCACTGTCGGAGAAACATCGCACTTTGTGACGTTTGCCAGGAGCCGGTGCCCCGCTCTGATCTGCAGGAGCACAAACAACAGGAACATACAAAGGTACAGTCTCCGCAGTGATACAGGAGGTCCTAATGTAGATTCATGCTTTAGCTGTGTGCAGCTTTTAAGAGCAGGCCTTGTACTGAAAAGTGGAAAATGTGTGTTTTCTATATACCCTCATTAATTACTTAAAGAAGTGGTTAATCTATCCCCAAATAATCGGTCTGAGGTGCCGGTAGCCTAGTGATTAGTGCACACACCCCATGTACAGAAGCTGTGGTCCTCCAGGTGGTCGGCCCGGGTTCAAATCTGACCTTTGTCTGCCTTCTCGCATGTCATATTTCACTCTCCCTGATTTCTGACTATGCATCTCTAAATAAAGAAAAAAAATATCTCTCTTTACAGATTACATGCAAGTGTGGTTTAAAGATTGAGAAGAATCATTTTGATGTTCACCAGGTATTTAAGAACGTTCTCCTCCCTTATTTACGTCTCTGATATTTAAACTCCTTGATGAACTCTTAAAAGTTTTTCCTTTTTACGCTCGTCCTCTCTTCCAGAGCTCTGAATGTTCCCAGCGGTTGGTCCCGTGCCAATACTGTGAGCTGGAGATCGTTTTCAGTCAATCCAAAGAACATGAAGATTACTGCGGCACTCGCACCGAGCTCTGCTCAAACTGCAAGTGCAACATTATGTTAAGGGAACAAGCTGTGCACCCGGTCCTGTGCGGGAGCCTTACACCGCCCCAAGAGAGGAACAACAG